GAGGGCTATTTTCACTTGAGGAAAGAGGAAACATATTGCTATCTATATTTTCAAGTGAAAATCATTGTCACTGTTGCCTGACAACAGGCTTCTCGAAGTGGGTATCGAACCCGGGACCTCTGAAACAAGTCCCATCGCTCTTAACCGCTTACCTACGGACCAGCCCTAAGTGGGAGAACTGAAACAAAAAAAAACTTGAAAACACAAAGTCCCATCGAAAGAGAGAGAGAGAGAAAAATACCATTGAGAACAAGTAGAATCTTACAATCAGGAAAAATGAATATACTCATATAAAACGAGTAAAGTTCGTGATAATCGTCTATTCAAGACGAGTAGATCCATAAAGAACTAGGCTCTCCATCAACTGTATTCTACCTTTTCGTTAATCCACCCTACTTTACCCCAAAACTTCTACCTCAACGGAACCCAGTCTGAGTTCCTCACAAAATGATCAAACTCTTTCAAAAAGTCTTAAATCTTTTATAAACATATCCGAAATGTTTGGAGCATAGCTTTGTAAGGATTAGAAACCTGGACTCTAAGAAAGGCTGTCAAATATTATCTGGAAAGTTTTGAAATGTGGTATTGGACAGACAAGATAAGCGATATAGAAAGGACTCTACTGATTATAATCCTGAAAAGAAAACAAAACTGGATCGTACCCATTCTGCAAAAACAGTGCCTCCTATACTATACGACGTCGTAGAAGAAAAAATAGAAGAAATAAAAGAATTGGAAAGAAGAAATATGCAAATGATTGACAACTTACGCGAGAAAAGAAAAAACATGGAAATGATAACGAAAGCACAAAACCAGGAAGCACAGAAGTTTGGAAAATAAGTATAACAAACGGTAATAGGAATAATTAACAAAGGCAGGAAAGGAAATCATTTATTTGTGGTGCACTCACACCATGGGTTTGCCTTCGGGCAGAGAACCGATTATTAATACTCCTAAGAAAGTAAATCTAGCTTTACAACTACCTTTTCAAAAATGATACAGTAGGAATTTCGTATCAACAATTACAAGATTAAGGCTGGGGCATACAATGTGCAAGATTCATCTCTGGAGGTTGGGAATAATTCAAGATTATATATGCCAATGTGGTGACAAACCGGGGACAATAAATCATATATTCTGGGAATGCAGAATGTATGAGAATCAAAGAAGAATTATGTATCAGAAACAGCAAAAAAATATATATATATATATTTCCAGTAAACACACAAATCTTAATATCTAGTAATAATGTGGATTTATATAAAATTTTATATAGTTTTATAGATAATAATAAAATTAATATATAAATACACAAAAATGTAAAATTATAACTGACGTAATGATCGCAAGATCCACATCCATGTAAAATAAATAAATAAAAAAAAAACTACCTTTTCTACTTACTGCCTAACCAAAGCACATTCAATTTTTCTAAGATATGAGAGTAATGAATAGCAGGTCATAGAGGGATTCTAAAGGTATCAATTATTATTTTTAATCCATTAGGGTAAGTTATAGTAATCGCGTAATATTTTTCTATACCTTCTTTACGTTTCTGAACATTTTGGCATTCCTTAAATGAATGGATGTATGTGTGTGTGTGTGCGTATGTGTGTGTGTGTGTTCGGGTACAAATTTTTGTAACACAGTTCAATCGATTTGAGTTATTGAAAAAACATTTCCAAAATACAAAAAAAACACATTTTTTTTTTCAAACAAGTTTTTTTTCAAAATTCTCAAAAATCTAATTTTTTCAAAGTTTTAAAAAGTTTTTAATAAGTTTTAAAAATTTTAATTTTTGGTATAGAAAAGTTCCAGCAATTTGCCTTAAGGCACTGTGCCATACACCACTAGTTTCTTTTTCTATTGTAAACAATATACATAAAAATGATTGCATTTTGATCAGATATTTAGATATCCAGAAGAGATATACTAGGAATAGATATATATATTTTTCCAATTATTTCCTTTTTCCCAAGCCCTGCCCCCGTTCGTTCCATCCGATTTGGGGCAGCCGGCGGCGCCATAACCCAGTTTCTCTCCGCCGGCCATTATCGCATCAATAATAATATAAATATGAAATGCACACTTGTGTGTTATGTGTTATGCGTTATATGTCGACGATTGCATCACGAAATCTTATACTTTGGAAGAGCATTTAGAACGATTATTTAGAGCAATTATTATGTGGCGTGTGTGAGAGGATATAGATAATTGACACACGGTGCCATCGGTCGATTCGTAGGAAAATGTATCGTTGTAAATATAGAACTTTATTTAATAGATATTTGAATTGGGCTCGTCGAGACCTCTTAAATGAGTACCCACATGCCTTATTTGACGTGGCAACGTTTTGTTCAGTATTGACCCACTGTACTATATATAGTTCACCAACTGGTCTGTGTACTTATTTGTTAGAACCCTTGTAACCTTTAAACGGTTTGTCTAATGCAAGTGAAATATTTGGCAAACTTTTACAAAATTACATCATCTACAATACTGCCTGATATAACTTTGACGTACCGATACTCGGTGTACTTTAAAATCACAATTTATAACGCAAATATTTTTAGATGCTAAGAAGTATCAGATACGGATTGCTATATGGGTTTTTTTGTTTTGAATTCGAAATTTGGCTTTATCTCATCAAGACCTTTTCAACGAGTACCCACATGCCATATTTGACCTGCCTACATCTTGGTCTGTATTGACCCGCTGTACTATATATAGTTCACCAACTCGTTTGTGCATTTATTTATTGTAACTCTTGTAACTCCTAAACCGTTTGTCTAATGTAAATGCAGAATTTGACAAATTCGTACAAAAATAAATAATTTTAAATATTGTTTAATATTCCATTTACATTAAGCGAACAATTTAAAAGTTACAAGAGTTCTAATAAACGAATGCGCATTAATGTTTTGTTGAGTCTCTCTATAATTAGTACAGTGGGTAAATTATGAGCCGTGTGTGTGTGTGTTTACTAAGTTTATATTATTTTTAAGCTAAGGAATGTTGATATTAACTTTGATAGTTTAGATGAAAGCGAAACTTTGTTTTCATTGGGAGTAATTAAATCTAAAAATAACCATAGGTATATGTTTACATGTATCGACTTACTTTACGAGCTATTTTTAACTCTTTAATTAAAATCAAGTCTGTGGAAAAATATACGTATATATATATATATATATATATATATATATATTCACATTCAACATCGATTTAAGTTAATATCGAGTTGCTCTAAGGCGCCTACATTATATTTGTTTAGTACATCTCTTGTAACTCTTGTAACTTCTGATACATTTGTTTAAAGTAAATGAAATATTCTACAATTTTTTATAAAAACTCAACAAAAATTTTCTTGTAAAGTGTGCACCACTTACGTATTAAATTGCATATAATTTTTAAACTATTGGAGGAATTTCAAAAGTGTTTTTGGTAAATTAGTTCAAAATTAAACTAGTGGGGTGGGTGGCATCGTGCCTTAAGGCAAATTGCTGGAACTTCCCGTACCGTAACGAAATGTTCGAGAAATTTTAAACGTTTTCAAATATATTATTATTAATATTGTAACATTGTCTAATATTTATAAGAATTATATAAACTGAATTGCAGAGTTGAAATTATTTGTTTAAAGTATATTAGAACTATAGTCAGAATTTCGATACACAAAAAATTAAAAAAAAAAAGAAAAAAAAAATCCAAAATCAATTATTTTGTTAAGACAAGCAGAAAGTTCTTTGAATCAATTGAATCGGACGCTTAGTTCTCTCAAAAACTGCCATTTTTTACATATTTAGCTCCGTATCTTCAAAATGGCTGGGCCTGCCTTTGCCAACAACTAATAACCCCTTCTCCCAATCATTACTAATTGAATGTTTTTTAGATCATTCAAATCGGATGCTCCGTTCTCTCAAAAACTCGATTTCTATTTTCTGCACTCTTTGCTCCTTATCTCCGTAACTGCTGGACCTGCCTTTGCCAAAAACTAATCAGCACATCTCCTTATCAATAGAAATCGAATGTTTTTTAAACCATTCAAATCGGTTGATCCGTACACCCGAAAACGTGGGCGAAAATTTGTATCCATATATACATACACACACACACACATCAATTTTTTCTGAAGTATGCCAAAATGTTCAGAAACCTTCAAAACGTCGAAAAATGTAAAAATTTTCAATTCCGATTTTCGGCCCATTACAATAACTTACCCTACGGGAAGTTAATAATTTACAACTTTGTGTTATATTATATACCCTACAGCAACTAGTTCTACTCTAAAAACGTTAAAGAAAACTATTGATTGATTTTAATAAAAATTGATCATCTGAAAGTGCATTTTGTACATAATATACTGAATAACTTTTAAACTATTTAAGGAATTGAAATACTGTTTTTGGCAAACTTGTCCAGAATTAAATAATCTACAACTTTTTCATACATCATAAGATCCTAGAACACCTTTAAAATCAAAATTGAAATTTGAGATGTAATCCTCTAATAACGATGATGCAAGAAACATTTACTTGGCAAGAGTGCACTTACGCACTAAATTACAATATATATATAACTTTTAAAATATTGGAGGAATTTGAAAAGTGTTTTCGGCAAATTTGTTCAAAATTAAATAATCTACAACTTTTTCATACAACATAAGACCCTACAGCAACTCCATGTACTTCAAAATTCAAATTGAAATTTAAGATGCAATTTGACTCAACAAAAAATTGCTTGTAAAGAGTACACCACTTACGCAGTAAATTATACATAACTTTTTAACTATTGGCGGAAATTAAATACTGTTTTTCGGCAAATTTGTTCAAAATTAAATAATCTACAACTTTCCCATATAACATATAACCCTACAGCAACTCAATTTACTTAAAAAACGCTTTAAACAAGAAAGTCTCTAAACACTACAAGAAATCAAGAATACCATACATCCATCTAGCATTCAGTTTCCAAACCAATTTGAAAGTTGAGGTTATGTCAAATTTACATTTCACTTAACATTTCAATTCAAAATAAAACTTAAATAAACACAAACAACAATGTCTCGTTTTGTAAAATTAGTGAAATCCTTTCTACCAGTCGCAAATACATTTACAACCCCAAACCTACAAAGGTACGTACTTAATTAATAAAAACACACAAACAAATTTGTAAACTCCATTACGTCATTATAGGTTAGGTCAAGTCTCTGTTAGATGTAAAAGTTCTGAACCAGAAGCCCCCAAACATGTCCTTATGCAATTTTTCGATGACCCCAAAAACTGGGGAGAAAATGAGGTCAAAGTTGGGAGATCTTGGAGAGTCGAGGAGCTGAGGATCAAGTCGAATGAGGACTTGCACAAACTCTGGTAGTAAAAGACTTATGAAACACTTTGTACATCTTCAAATAAAATAAAATACTCATTAACAATTTTACTTTGTTGTTTGTGTTAAATAATTATTCATCGGTCTATTACCTAGGTATGTTTTACTAAAAGAGCGCAACATGCTCTACACAATGGAAGAAGAGTGCAAACAAAAGACTCATTTATTTCCAAACCCAGAACGTATAGATAAAGTTGAAGAGTCCATGAAAAATTTAGAAAACGTTGTCCGGGAACGTAATGAAGCATACTATTTCCTAGAAACTGGTGAGAGTGGTGAAAGACCTTCGTATATGATCAGAAACTCTTTGGGATTACGGATAAGACGTAGAGCTACTGAACATTTGATACCCAAATATATGAATACTGATTGGAAGAGGAAGAATCATATCGGGTTTAGTGGACATGCTGTGAGGAAGTTTTTGCAACATTATAGGGAGCAATTGTATGTGGAGAAGAAGAAGAAAAATAAGTAAGAGGGATAATAGATACATTATATATATATATATATATATATATATATATATATATATATATAAAATTAATTCTACAAGATTTTGGACAATTATATCATTATTTTTAACAATAATAACCAAAGAATGATTTCATTTCAACTAGTTGCATAGAAAAATTTAATTTTCTATTTTTTCCATTGAGTTCTGGGACACCTTATATATATATTTCTACTTTTTTCCAGCCGTGACCGTAATCATGTAAGATCCCTACTAAGGATGTACAAGAATTTAGATATGGAAGCCCTGAAAGAGCAATACCCCAATGTCGATATTGAAAAAGAGAAGAGGCATCCTAGATCACAAGGACATTTTATTAGAGACGATTAAAAGTTACAATTGTGTATTTTTTTTAAGTTAAATATAGGTATCTAAATATTCTTAACACTTTGTTTTTATTTCAATATATTATTTTTAATATATATTTGTTTTTAATTCAATATATTTTTAAGTATTTGTGTATGTTTTGGTACTTCTCCTAAGCGGTTATTCGGATTTGATAAATCTTTTTAGAGTTTGTCAAAGAAAATTTTGTAAGATTTAATGAATGATAAAACTATAGTAATATAAATGGCAAAAACTACAAAAAAAAAAACACTTATCATTGTTTGATATTGAAAACATTCAAAACTGGCATCTGCTAGGTATGTAAATTTATTTGAAATTTGAATTTATCTGAAATTATGCGCCTAGATAATATTAGAATACAAGAAAAATGTTGTTATGTCTACATTATTATTGCCGAAAAGCAGCTGAGATGTGCCAGAAATTTAAATAATATAAGATACAGTGTAGGTTTGGCAGATGCAATTATATAATTCAGTTTAATAAGTCAACAATTGCACATACATTATTTTTTTAAACTTATGCATGTTGCATTTTGGTTTACTTTACTTAATTATTTAACAATACAAAAAAATATTTCTGTTTATTTGTCAGAAATTTAAATAATATAAGATACAGTGTAGGTTTGGCAGATGCAATTATATAATTCAGTTTAATAAGTCAACAATTGCATATACATTATTTTTTTAAACTTATGCATGTTGCATTTTAGTTTACTTTACTTAATTATTTAACAATACAAAAAAATATTTCTGTTTATTTGTCAGAAATTTAAATAATATAAGATACAGTGTAGGTTTGGCAGATGCAATTATATAATTCAGTTTAATAAGTCAACAATTGCATATACATTATTTTTTTAAACTTATGCATGTTGCATTTTGGTTTACTTTACTTAATTATTTAACAATACAAAAAAATATTTCTGTTTATTTGTCAGAAATTTAAATAATATAAGATACAGTGTAGGTTTGGCAGATGCAATTATATAATTCAGTTTAATAAGTCCAAAATTTCATATACATTATTTTTTTAAACTTATGCATATCGCATTTTGGTTTACTTTACTAAATTATTTAGCAGTACAAAAAAATATTTCTGTTTATTTACCAGAAATTTAAATAATATAAGATAAAGTGTAGGTTTAGCAGATGCAATTATATAATTCAGTTTAATAAGTCTAAAATTGTATATACATTATTTTTTTAAACTTATGCATGTTGCATTTTGGTTTACTTTACTAAATTAATTAACAATACAAAAAAATATTTCTGTTTATTTGCAGAAGTAAAAAAACGATAAATAATTATACTATTTATTTTGTACGTTTCGACACGTTATGTGTGTCATCATTCAGCAATTTTTTTTTGATATTCATACAGTATCACACCAGAAAATGCAATAAGAAAAATTTGAAACAAGATGAAAACAAGATTGAAAATAAAACATAATAAATAAAGTAAAAATTTTACAATATCCAAAAATTTAAAAAATTTATTAAAATTTGCAAAGTTTAAACAAATTAATACTAAAATATATATTACAGAATGAAAACAAATAAAAAAATAAATACATTTCACACCAGAAAAAAATACAAAACAAAATATTAAACATTATTTAAAAAAAAACACAAAACAATAAAATATAATATTTAAAAGTTAATACAGATGGAATGATGACACACATACCGTGTCGAAACGTGCAAAATAAACAAAAAGTTTAAAATTAAATGTGTAACTACACGCACCAAAATTTTAACATATACATTATAATAGATATTAGATTATTTTCCTTATTTCGCATAATACGCTTTCTCGCTTAAGACACGATTTTAGGTCTTACAAATCGTCTTATAAGGATTTTACTTTATTAACTTCCTGTGTAGGGTAAGTTAAAGTAATCTTAAAAAATCTAAAATAAAAAGTCTGGCATACCTTAGAAAAAATGGATGATTGTGTGTGTATGTATGCATGTGTGGATACAATTTTTCGTCCACGTTTTCGAGCGCACGGATCAACCGATTTTAATGGTTCAAAAAACATTCGATTCCTATTGATAGGAAGATGCAAAAAAAAATAGAAATTAAGTTTTTGAGAGAACGGAGCATCCGATTTGAATGATTTAAAGAACATTTAATTTGTAATGATTGAAAGAAGTGGTGACTAGTTTTTGGCAAAGGCAGGTCAACCCGTTACGGAGATACGTAGCAAATAGTGCAGAAAATAGAAATCGAGTTTTTGAGAGAACGGAGCATCTGATTTGAATGATTTAAAGAACATTTAATTTGTAATGATGTGGAGATGTGGTGATTAGTTTTTGGTAAAGGCAGGTCCAGTCGTTTTGGAGATTCGGAGCTAAATGTACAAAAAATAGTAGTTTTTGAGAGAACTAAGCATCCGATTTGAATGATTCAAAAAACATTTTGCTTGTGTTAACAGTGTGAATTAATTAATTTTAAAGCACGTCATTTTTTATTTCAAAATTTCAATTATATATATTTTTTAATTTCCAAAAAATTATTTTTTAAATATAAAAAAATGATTCGGATTTTAATTTTAATTCTACCTAAAATTCTATAGCCCCTTGAAATAAATAATATTAACTTTTCTATTCACTTAATATAATTCTTAATATAAACATTCGATACCTATTGATAGGGAGATGTGATGATTAGTTTTTGGCAAAGGCAGGTTCAGGCGTTTCGGAGTGACGGAGCAAAGAGTGCAGAAAATAGAAATCGAGTTTTTGAGAGAACGGAGTATCGGATTTGAATTATCCAAAAAACATTCAGTTTGTAATGATTGGGAGATGTGGTGATCAGTTTTTGGCAAAGGCAGGTCTAGACGTTTCGGAGATATCGAGCAAAATGTGCAAAAAGTTGCAGTTTTTGAGAGAACCTAGCATCCGATTTGAATGATTCAAGAAACTTTCTGCTTGTTTTGACAAGTAAATTAGGCAACTATTCTTTTTTTAATTGAATTCGAAATGAAAAGACGATTGTTAATGTTCTAAAGGAGATAAATTGATTGATTTATGATTTACATTTGATTTGCTCAGATATAACAAGATAGCAAAAATAATGAAAGTTACAGTATTTGTAATAATATATTTGAAAACGTTTAAACTTTCTCGAATATTTCATTACGGTACGGGAAGTTGCAGCAATTAGCCTTAAGGCACCACTATTTAAATTTCAAATTCCATTCTTTTCCCGCCAAACTTTTTCCCTCTCCCATCAGGCAACACTTCTCATGCGGCACAAACATGCGCAAACAATATTTCCAATAAACCGATAACGAATGGACGTGAAATATTAAAAATGGTGCTGCGACATAACTTAAATTTTGCAAAATCACTTAAAAACATTTTAAACAATTTCAAAATGTAGTCTTTGAATAAAAAACTGATTTCAAAAGATTGTCCTCCTCTGCACAAGGTGAGCAAATGTCAAAGTGACAGCCGTTTGACGTTTGACAGATGGATAAAGGAATAAATAAATGTTAATGGTTTATTTATTTATTTGTTTATTTTAATGATAAATATTTTGGTGGTGTTTAAAAGTGTCGTTGGTGGTGTTTGAGTTTAAAAGGGTTTTTAGTTTAAAATGGTGTTTTGTGCCAGTTTTGCGGTTAGAATTGTGCAAATTTTTAATCGATGAGTAATGATGTAAAATTGTCTAATGTATAGGGATATTTATAAATCGATTGGTTGTTGTAAGTTAAATAACATTAATATATATATATATATATATATATATATTTAGGTATATAAATATATAGATACTAATCTAAATAGAGAATAGAATAAAAAAAACCTCTTGAGAATACATATAGATAACAAAGAAAACCAAATTGTTTCTAGTACATTTTTTAATAATTTTAATTCAAATTAATAAATTAAAAGATAGTTTTTATACGTCTCGAGCCCCAGTTTGACCCTTCTTCCACACACAAATTATATAAAAAGAATAAAAAAGCATAAAAATTCCTATGAAATGAATAAATAACTTTAAAAACTTTCATATTAGTGAAGAAAGTTAATATGTATTTAATTTGAGTAAACCAAAATTAATATACAAATGAGAAAAAAATATAATTTATATATTGATGACTATAAATATATAAAAAAATATATAAAAACCAATAAGCACGTATATTATTAAGGTTTTTTTTTTGATAATAATTTGTACTTGTTTTTGTTTTCTAAAATTTTTTTTTTTTCATTTATTTGTTATTTTTCAATGTTAAGAATACAACATTTATTATTTACTAATAGATGTTACTTTCTTCATAAAAAACCTGAAGTTGGAATGTACGTAGTTCCGAAACGTATTTTAATTTTTCTAATTTTTTTTATGATTATTTTGTTTATTTATATTTACTAGTATATTCTTCATAAAAAAAACTGAAAATAATATGCATCTAGCTCCGAAACGTCGATATTAAATTGAAAATTTCAAAAAACATATTTGTTTTATATATTTTTTTACTTTTTTAAACATACACACAGAATATGTATATAGTAGGGTGGTCCTTAATATGGACATTTTCGAATTTCTTTGCTCCCAAGGGCTCAAATTGTTCCTATTCCTAAATTGCAGACTGAATGTTAATATTAAGGGCTAAAATTTTTAGAGATTTTTTTTTATCAATTTG